CAAAACGACAGCAACTTGTCTGTTCCCCTTCCCCCAATTCCCCAGCACTGTTCCCATCCCCCCAATTCCCCAATAAAAATCTTAAAAAAAAAATGTCCTTAGGGTTACAATATATACTCGCAAACTCAGTGATTTCTGTAGTGCGCTAAAATTAAGTCTCTACTCAATTGCTTCAGTATTGGAGTCGTGTCAGCCCAACAGAATCACATGCACTCAAAGATAGATACCCCCAACTCTGTTCCCCCCAACACACTCCCTATTAAAAATCCTACAGACGCCACACTTGTACTGAGCACACAGCAGGTATTTCATAAATGCCTGATGAGTTGATTCAGCTCTTAGGAATGCGGGGGTAGACTTCTACAAATGGAGCCCAGTTCTGTACATTATCAAAGCTTTTCCCTACTGTGCCCTGCAATTGACCACTTTCACCACACTCCCCTGCTAATTAGCACCTCTGCTCAAAGGTGACTAGGAGAGTCGAGAGCTTGTTAGAACACAACACAAAGCCTTACCCAGGCCAGTTTTGTGCACTGTTGTAACGCTGTGTACATGATGTGGTAGAAAGAGAATTGAAAGAATAGCTGTACTAGTTGACTAGTTGTGGGGTTCAAGGTAATGACTCTCTGCAAATGCCCCCCTCCAACCTCTGCCAATGGCTGTTATTTAAGAAAAGTAGAACAAGATCAGGACTGAAATTTCTAAGAATGCCCAAGTTGACCCAATCAGTGGTTCCCAAAATATGGGCCCTGTGCCACTGGTGACATCTAAGGCAATAGTGGCGGAGCAGAGAACTGATATGGCATAAATATGAAATCTCATTGTGAAAAAAAAATTACCTTTTACATTTCCTTTCAATTCTTTTGATTGTATCCCAAAGCTTACTTGAGTCATGAGTTACTTATGTTAATGAGTCCTTAGCACCTCCCCTCTCTGTCTGTTGTTGTCTTTTTTTTTTTCTTTTTTAATTTTATTGGGAAACAGCCATGGTCATTGATTACACATTGCTTTCATGCTACAATGGCCTGGTTGACTCTTTCAAGGAGGGTGCAGCTCACAGTGGCCCATGCGGGAATTGAGCCGGCAACCTTGGTGTTATCAGCACCACGCTCTAACCACCTAAACTAACTGGTGACCCCTATCTCTGTCTCTTAAATACAATCACTCAATGCCTTGGCAAACCATCAGCCTAGCTTCTTTTTACTATATTTCTTTAAGAGCACCTACTATCTATGGCCTGAAATTAAAGGTGTTTTTTTTCTTTAAAGCATACATATAGTTTCTTTTAAAAAAGCATTTATCTGAGTAAAATGTGAGTCAAATTAAAGAAAAAGACTAGGAAAATAATACTAAGGTGATATCTGGATAAGACAGAAGTCAGGAAAAATGATGCTCAAACTACTGAATTTTGCAAATGCTGCCTGAGATCAAAAAGTTGTCTGTGCTTGGTGTTAAAACAAATAAAACAAAACCCAAAGCAGCACAAATGAAGGGGATCAAAGTGTCAAGAAACGGCTCTTACCATATAAACCACAGCAACAAGGTCGTCCATCTAATGTGGGGCGTGAAAAGGTCCCTCATTTTGCCTCGGTCTTCCTGTTTCAAGACAAAAAAATGCGGCTTACTCTCCTCCCTTCCAGATGTGTAGGCACTGGCTGGTGGCTGGAGACGCGTGGACACCCATGGCTGAGACGGAAGTTTCTGGTGGGCTGGACACCCAGCCTCCGAGAACCCAGGACCCAAATCCACAGCACACAGTTCCCCAGCCCAATGCAGCCAATACGGCCCCTTCAGCCAGGACCGGGCAATGTCCAGAGGCTTGGTTCTGGAGGATGGAGACATTCCGCAGGCCCCACCCAACCAGACCCCTTGGGTTTGGCCCCCCCTGAGGGCTCTCAGGTGGTCCCATGGATGCAGAGAACAGAAAACCAGTCCAAGGGGTGTCCAATTATTTCATGTCTTGTCCCCAACTCTAGGTCAAGGTAACAAAAACTAATGAGCTGATCATCAATTCACCAAAAGCCAATTTGCCAAAAGATTGATTAAATGACCCATTTGCCCATTTCATATAATTTGCTAATTTATCAAATCTTTCGCTTACAATGTTCTTTTAAAAATATATTCTATGATTAATTATATTCTTAGATATAGTTAATGAACATATTTTTCTTAGTAGCAGTTTGAGAAATGCTTACTTATTTAAACATGCTCAAAGTGAAAAAAACCAAAATTACAGACCATGGGTGATTTAGTCTGTCTATGAATAATGTCTTCATGAATACAGATAGTTTTATAATACAGTCTTCAATAAAAGACAGCATTCATTAAGTATGTTTATTGAATATATTTGAGAATATCTGTATTTACAGAATATATTTTGGTATATTTATAGAGAGAACATATTGATAAACAAATGTATTAACATGTACATAGGGAAAATATATACCTATTTACTAAATACATTAAAAGACAATAATCCTTAAAACATGTTTTTGGTCAATTGATATATTGGCAAGTTAACCCAGGAAAATTTGCTTTTGGAGAATTGGCCTGCTTCTGGTAAGCCCTTTGCTTCTTTTTTGCTTTTCTCAGGATTCACCTCCCTCTTGGAGCCTTCCGGGACCACTGTGCTTCCCCAAGTGCATTTGGGTATGTCTCCTGGCCTGTATATTGTCAGACCATGCCAAACACCTCCTTTCTTTCTTTCTTTCTTTCTTTTTTTTAAGATTTTATTGGGGAATTGGGGAAGGGGACCGGCCAAGTTGTTCTTCAATCTTCGTTGAATCTGGCTTCCCGTCGGCAGCTTGTAGCCTCTAAGCTCAAGGTGCTGTGTTCAACTTAATTGCGGATGGGAATAGCCACCATCCCATGTGGGAGTCAAACCAGCAGCCTCGTTGTTAAGAGCGCATGCTCTATCCACTGAACCATCCGGTCGGCAGCTCAGTTCAGGGTGCCAAGTTCAGTCTTAGTTGCGGGTGGATGTAGGCCACCATCAAACAGGCAATCTTGTTGTTACACCAGCTGAGCCATTCTGCCACCTGTTGGCAGCTCAGCGACTGCTCAGCTCGGGTGCAACATCACTGGCCCATGTGGGAATCGAACCGGCAGCCCTGTTGCTCAGAGCTCACGCTCAAGCCAACTCTTAACCAACTGAGCCACTCGCCCGGCCCTCAAACACCTCCTTTCAATTTGGTGATATTCCATTCAGTTCTTTTTGCATAACATAGAAACAATCAGAAATATAATTTTATTTTAAAAGATTAATGCCTATACGGTTTGTTGTTTGCTTAAGGGTATTTGCCATGGACAAGAACAGGGACTGCAGCCTTTAATAGGGCTCCCTTCTCCTTAAGTGCGTGGTGCACAAGTGCACACGCACACGGAAGGTGATCATAAATTCTCCCTGTGGTGGATTCCCTGATGGTATTGTCACCTAGAGCGACACACCATCCATTACGGATGTCTACCCAGGCGCGGTTTGGCGGCCTGTATCTAAGTCTTCCTGATGTGGCTTTATTGTCCAGCCTTTGCCCATAAATCATGTTTGCTAATCAGACTTCATGGGCGCTGAAAGTCTAAACTGAAGCAAGAGTAGCTACAGGATCCATTCGCGGACACTGCATTTACACTTCCCTAATCACTAGCTAAATTCTCCAGGTGGCGCTTCTAGGACTTGGCAGTGAAAACACACAGATTGGAGTTGCTCGATTCCCTTTGCTCACTGCACCCCCATCCACTCCATGTACACTCACGAGCACACAGACACGCACATCCCACCCAGGTACACGTGCACCCCTGCACACACAGGGATACCAAGCCGCAGGGTCAGTGGGCCAGGCACTGACCTGTCTGGAGATGATGAGTTTCCCCAGCGGCATGGGGGCTCCGTTTTCTGTTGCTATCCTCTTTAAGGTGGCAATGGCCTTTTCCTGGTTCCCAGACAGCACATCATACCTTGCACTCTCCGGCAGCCACTGTAGGGGACAGGGGACCCAGGCGTGACCGGTTAAGGCAGAACAGAACACTGGGTCCCAGAGACATACTCATTTGTTTGTGGAGATGGTAAGAATAGAGGCTTTGGAGCCAGAAAACTACCCTCAACTCCTGGCTCTGCCATTGAGTATGTTGGCTGTGTGACCTCGGGCAATTACTTGACCTCTCTGTGCCTCTGTTTCCTCATCCACAAAATGGGCATAATCATAGATCTACCTCTTAGTGTTGCTGAGAGGATTAAATAGGATGATGCAGACAAAGTGCTTAGCACAGTGCCTGGAATGGGTTAAATGGTTATTATTGTTGCCGTTCCTGGTACTATTATTCGGTGCTGCTGTCAGAGTTCCAGGTGAAGGTTGAATTACATTAAGACTGCCACCAAAAAAAATATTGGAAAAAAAAAATGACTGCATCATCATCATCATCATCCCCATCCCCATCTCTCAGGAAACTATACTTTACCTGTGTTCAAAATTATCTTGTAAACCAGTCTAAGAGACAGAAAAAACCCAAAAAGACCTTTAGGCCTAAGAGTCCCAATCCCAACTAATTAGATAAATATATTGTTGTAAAATGAAGCAATAGCAATCTATAAAATGGGAGAGTGTGAGACTCGGAGTAAGAAGATCTGGTTCAGATTAGTTCTGTTGCTTATTTGCTGTGTGCCTTTTGACGAGTCAGTCAACCTCTCTGGGCCTCGGTTTCCTCATCAGTAAAAGGAGAATGTAGCAGACATTGCTAATGTCCATTAAAATTCATACTTCCCTTTCCATAGTATAGTGTTGTCCTTGGATATGGCCACCCAGCCAGGAATTACATTTCCTAGCCCCTCTTGCATCTAGGTGAGGCCATGTGACATGCTTTCACCAATGGCCTATGAGCAGAACATTCCTGGCCAAAGCTTTAGGAGGTTAGTATGTGACTCCACCAGCCCTTCCCCAATCTGCATACAGATCACTCCACAGCCCTACAGGACTGCAGAGCTCCAAGCTGGAAGAAACCTGGCCTGGGAATCACATTGCCAAACAGGACCCATTCTAGATTGTCATGTGAGAAATAAACTCCTATTGTGTTAAGTTATTGAATGTATGAGCTTTATTTGTTATAGCAGCTGGTGTCATCCTAACTGATACAGGCACTCATCATAGTCCTACCTCTTATGGTTATTGGGAGGAATAAACACGATAGTGCACGTAAAGAGCCTAGTGCAGAGCCTGCTACTCAGACAATATGGATTGTCATTACCAGGAGTTATTACAAATATTATTTACTATAGATGAGACCTACCTGCCTAAAGGCTTATTTTGGGGCCCACTGGCTGTGAAGTGTTCCATGCATGTGGTCTACACATGAAATGATATGTATGTGGCATGATCCGCCTGGGGGGGTAAAGTTCATGCAGAACGGAGACGGAGAGATCATTTGAGCCCCTAGACGTAGCCGTGTCTGAAGCCAGATATTTAATCCTCTGTCATGTGTCTATCTCTCTCTTTTACTCAAGCCAGTTTGAATTGGGTTTCGGTCACTTGCAATTTAAGAGCCCCAACTATTCCAATACAGTCACCTTAAGTGTAGGTCTTACAGTGGAGGACACAAGGCACCCCCCATTCCCTGCTATCTCCCTAAAGAACATCCTAATGGTGTCTGGAGGAACCCCAGTACCCAGGCCCTGTTCCTTTGTCTCATTTCCTGACTTAGAAAAATAATCTTAAAAGGTGGATTTGGTGGCCTCCTCCTCCACCCTTCCCCACCAAAACACAAACAGCAGAAGGCCACGTGGCAGAGGTTGAGGTCTCTTAAAAGATACCTACAAAACACAGGACAGCAAAGAGGAGCAGCGGGACAGCAGAGAGGATAAGCAGCCAACGCCAGCCCAGGCTGGGCATCACAAACACAGCCAGGATGACCTCGAACACTGTCCCGATGGCCCAGAACACCTGGCACAGGAGAAAGGGGGTTAGTGATGGGGGCAGCGATGGTCGATACAATGAGCAATTTCAGGGTCATTGTAGACAAGGTAATCCATGCGGGGAAAGGGTCCTTGGGGTCAACAAGGTCAGAATAGTCATCACTTTTCCTGTGGTCCATATGGTTGGGCCAGAGCCGCCATCTTGTACATCTCCCGAAGGTGCCATCCACAATATATATTTGCGTGGTGCCAACGGGAGTGTGCAAGGTGGTGGCTCTGGTTAAGGAGATCAATATGATCAAATATCGTGTGAGGCCGACATGGTAGTGGACATGTTGTGTTTTGTCCACTGACATCCATTTCCGCTACCAAACAGAACCTCGTATCCTTTACCAGAACTGCCCTCTGTGGGGCTCAATATCTTCTGTTTGCCTCTCCGTGTAAGGCTCTATCCTTCTTTGTATGGACTGTATCCACACATTTCTAGTTCTTTAGCTTCCCACTGGGTGCAGCCAATGGGGACCCTCACAGGGAGGGAGGGGCGTTGATTCTTCTAGTTCTCTCTCTGCAGGATGGTGATGGGCTGGCTGCTTCCCTCAGCTGAAGGTCACAGCTCCCGTCCAATAGCCCTCACCCTACAACTCATTTCCACCCCCTCCTGCTAATTACTGCCTCCCTTTGCTCCTGCAGGCCTGGGTAGTAGTCACACCCCTGCAAGGACTTTTTTATAAAGAGTCCCCTTGTGAAACCTTCTTCAAATTACCCTAATCTGAGCATGTTATTGTCTGTTGTGACCCTGACATGGACAACTATTGTCCATTCCAAAACTGGTCCTTTAGCTACCCCAACAGTTCTGGGAGCCCCCAAGAGTGTTCCTAAACCCCCTTGCTTAAATAAGCCACAGTCCATATCTGTTGCTGACAATCAGGGTGACAGTCAACACGTCTAACTACTGGGATAGCACTGACCAATCAGAATGGACATACACTCCCCCCACCTCCCACCATGACTATGCCAGCAGTTAACTCTTTAGTTGCTGGATCGTGAAGAGTTCTAGGGGGGTGTCCTAAGAGATGATGGGGTGTCAGGTGATGAGGGGTAGTCAGGGTTCAGGATCAGCTGTCACAGATGCACTTCAATATTTAAACAATTGGTTCATCCATACCAGTGTGGACCAGCCGGCTACCATCCTGACTGATCAGGGTTAGATGCCGTCAGGATAGTTAAGTTGGGCTGTGGGGTCAATGTGATCAATGTTGTCAGTGTGGTCATGGTGACTAGGGAGGTCAGAGTGGCATCGCGGTCCTCGTTGTGGACATTAGTGTCCAGCGGGAACAAATAAACCATTCTGCCACTGCATGGAGGAGGGGCCGTTGGGCAGCTGTGTATTTGCCCTGAGATCTTCCAGATAATAGTTGGAAAATGGGTCACAGGACCCAGGGAGAAGGGGGGCTTCAGAGGGACTGGCTGGACCAAGAGAGTTTTAAGGCAGCAATGGACCACAGAGGTGACCTAGAACAGAGATCCCAGACAAAACACGGGTAAATTTAGGTACAAACAAGGGTAGAAGGTGATGATATGGGTGGGGTTGGAGGAGTAGGAAGCGTTGGCTCCACTTAAGCTGCACCATTCAGCACCAACTCTCAGATAAAAGCCATTTCCAGTTCAAGAACGACATACCGCCTCCCTGTCACCATTTTTTTTTAAGGGATAGTAGATTGAATTTTCTTGTCAGTTGAAGAACTTATCCATATTTTAAATCAACCATGTCAAAAGTCAATATAACTGATCTGTTTAAGTCTTTGCATACTGAGTCTGTTATATTTTTCTTAACCTCCCCTTTCCTTGCCCTGTGGCTCAAGACACCTGAGAACCTCCTGCCAAAGACCGGGAATTCTCTAGAAACCCAGCCAACCCTCCTTACCTCAATCAGCAAAATACACTTAGCTCTGGCTTTCATGGGAAGGAACTCAGCATACAGCGTCACCCTGGGAAAGTAAAGAGAGAGAAAAGGAGGTGAAGGTCAGGACTGAGGGGAAGATTGCTACCGCTTTCTAAATTTCTAAGCCAACATTCCTCCGTGTGTGGTCCACGGATCACTTACATCAGAATTTCCTGGCATTGATGACTTTCTATGTGTGTAGATCCCCAGGTCCCGCCCCAGACCTTCAGAAACAGAGTCTCAGGGGTGGGGCTCTGGCATATACATTTGAAAATAACTCCCCATATGATTCTCAAATTTAATAATTGCTACCACCAAGCCCTCCTCACACGCCAGTGTGAAAATAGGGTGGTGGGACGATGGGCAGCTTCATTCGAGAGCCGTTCCTCAGGTTTTCCCTTCCGCTCAAGTCCTGAACAATCTTAGAATACAGGTCTTTCCTTCTGTAGGGTGCCTCTCATCTTGGGTTCATCTGCTATCTCCTTGTGACCAGACTCAGGCCATGATTTGTTGGCAGGAACCCCAGAGAAATGATACCAGCTCTTTCCAGTGCCTGAAATCAGGGGACACCAGGTCAGCCCGTCGTATCACCGGTGATATTAACCTTCATCACCAGATCAAGTTGGTGTTTGACAGATTTCTCCATCCTGAAGTTACCGTTTCTCCATTTGTAATGACTAACTTTGTAAGGGAACATTCAGAGATTATGCCGATATGCTCTTCCCGATCGAACCTCTACCCACCAGCTTAAGCATCCCATCTATTGACTATTTCTGCCTGAATCATCCACCACAATGATGGCAACAAATCGTATTTTTATTTCCATTATTCCATCTACAGATATTAGTCGACATCCAACTATAAGGAAGAGCTTTCCCTGCTCCCCTTTATCTATCTATCTATCTATCTATCTATCTATCTATCTATCTATCTATCTGTTCATTTAACTGGTAAGGACTTGCGGGTTTCTATTTTATTCAGTGGATTGTAATCCATTACTGCCATTATTATTCTGATGCTCAGACTGTCCCAGATCTGGCCAGTGAAAGCCCTTTTAAGCTGATGCCTATGTCTTTTTGACATGTCTCCATTCCTTGATCTCTTTCTCACTTTCTGGCACAAAAAGATGTCCAGCCTCATCTTGCACTTCCCTTGCCCCAGCCATGGAATCAGTCATTTTTCTAGGGAGCCCTGGCTCCTATTGGTAGAGGATGGTATTTTGAGACCAAGATCTGGCTGCTTGGTGTGCTCGTTGATAAGGGGATGTCATTGCTTCTAGGATTTCTCAGTGGACACAGTTAAGAGAGCTATCTATCTATCTATCTATCTATCTATCTATCTATCTATCTATCTATCTTATCCATCCATCTCTGTGTCTCTCCATTTCTCAATCTCTCTCTCTCCCCCACCATACATGGACACCATATACCTATATCTGTTTTTATATATATACCTATCTGTGTATATGTGGTTTGTAAAAAAAAAAAAAAAAAACAACGAGGGCTGGCTGAGTGGCGTGTTGGTTAAGAGCTGGCTTGGGACACCAGAAGGCCCCGGTTCGGATCCCACATATGAGGGCCAGTGACACTGCCCTCCGCAGCTAAGATGCTGAACAACAGCTCAATCTGGAGCTGGGCTGCTGTGAGTCGCCAGCGACAGCGTAGGCTGCAGCCCCTGCTGCAGTGGGTTGCCATGGGCTACCGTGTGTAGCCAGCAGCCAGCATGAGCGGCCAGCAGCCGCAGTGAGCGGCCGTCCAGAAGCCGGCGACTGATCTGCCTCGCCCGGGAAGAGCGCAATGATGGTGCCAACTTGGGCCAGTGAAGCAACATCCTCCACAACTAGACTGAAGAACAAAAGGACAGCAACTTGTCTGTTCCCCTCCCCCCAATTCCCCAGCACTGTTCCCATCCCCCAATTCCCCAATAAAAATCTTTAAAAAACAACAACAATGAGTTCATACTGATACTTTCAATTCTAGCCCAACCAGAAGGTTGGGTTCTTTCTAACCTTTTCAGTTTCCATGTTGGTAATTCCCTTCTCCAACACTGAGAAATCCGGGTCTCATTATCTTCTGTGTATTTACTTATCTGCTCAGTTGATTTACTTGTTGGCTCAATGTTACCAATGCCTTAACTGCCCTGGCAACCTCCTCCATCCACTGCCTCCAGTGGACAGGCTGGGAAGAGAAGGAAACTTGCAGGCCACATCCCCATGCTGCCTTTGTTTTGCTAGGAAAAGGAGGCCTTCTCTTTCCCCTCATCTCCCACCTAAGCCAGGCATCTGAGCTACTCGGTGGCCTCATGTTACTCTCCTGGATCCTATGGGAGGTGGGGGGAGAAGGAAGCTAATTTCCATGAACTCTTTAGAGGCAGATGGTGCTGGTGACCCATCTAGATTTCTTGGAATCCCTTTACTAGGTCAGTGTGCCCACCTCCCAGCTGCTGCTGCTAACGGCTCACGCTTGCAACCCTCTCTTAGGATTGCTCTGCAGCGATTGGAGCTGCCTCACCACAGAAGTACCTTCTCCAGAGAGCAGGCTGAAGGCTGGTGTTGGGTACAAAAGGCCCATCTTCCGTACCTCAAGGTGGGACAGACTCTGTGGAACAACCGAACCTCCTGAGCTCCCTGTGGGATCAGGCTGAGTCTAGACTTCCCCTGAAACCATATCCTTGCTTGACTTCTTCCCTTCACCTTTCTTGCATCTTTCATTCTTTTCCAGGCTCCTCCTGAGAGCATTCCCTGAATAAACCACTTGTACAAGAATCTCTGCCTCAGTCTGTCTGTTTCTATGCAAACCAACCTACATCAGCTAATCCTGTAGAGCATCTAACTTGTTAAAAGTTGGCCTCAGCCATACCATGGAGGTTTAGAAATAGTTCTGTCACCAGGAGAAGTCCTTCTTAGAGTGATTACGAAAGGCACCTCTGTCCAGAGAAGGAAAATAATTCCTCGCATACTTCAGAGGAAAGGCTGGGGCTTTAATAGTTCAGATATACCATATTTCCCCATGTATAAGACGCACCTTAATTTGGGGCCCGAAATTTGAAAACAAAATGTATTACATAAAATTATTGAACTCAAGTTTTATTCATCATAAAATTCATACAACTCCTCATCACTGTCAAAAAATCTGCAACCACTATATAAGACACACCCAGTTTTTAGACCCCAAAGTTTTTGAAAATGGGTGCGTCTTATACATGGGGAAATACGGTACCCTATTTAGAGAAAAGAATGGGAAAAAAGTCAATGTCATCTAGTCTCCCCTAGCAGGGTATTTTATTATATTCCCTCTCTGTCCTGATTCATTCCTTCTCTCTCTCTCTCTTTCTCTGAACCCCGCTAGCTGAGATCATATCCAACAATTGTGAACCCTATTTGTTATTTGATTTATAAACACTTCCATGCTATTTTAAATCCTCTTACACACATATAGTCTATCATATGCATGAATAATAGCTACCTTTTATTGAGGACCTACTATATGCCAAACACCATTCTAGATATTTCACATGGATCATCTACTCAATAAGCATTGCAAGTGAATGAGGTTAGGTAAGTATAATTTCCAGTGTGTGAGTGTGTGAGTGTGTGAGTGTGTGAGTGTGTGTGTGTGTGTGTGTGTGTGTGTGTTTGTATCTTTAACCTCCATTTTCATATCTGTATCTATCTATGTCAGATAAGTTGTTAGTTGACCAGGATCACACAACTAGTAAGTTCATAAGTGGAAGAGCCAAAATTTTAACCCAGGTCTGTCTATACTATGTAGCCCATCAATCACTTCCCTATTTGGATGGTTTCACAATTATAAACAATACTTCCATAAACATCTTTAGGCTGAAATATCTATATTCACATGGTTTTCTTAGGATAGAGTCCTGTAAGTAGAATTTAAGTCAAAGAGTATGCATATTTTTAAGACGTACATATGTATATACTTATATATACAAAAGTGGTTCCCAAAAAAGTTGTTCCAACTTGTATTCCTACAATACCTCTCTCAACAAAAGCCATTAGGAATTTTATTAACTCAGTTTTGAAAACAGGGACCAAGATTACAAAAGATTACAGTGGTCACTGTAATCTTCTTTGAAATTTTATTCTATTCTCCAAAAGGTGAGCTTATATTATTTTTAAAAATCAATGATAATAATAAAATGAGAAGTATGTTTACCTGTACCCTACCAAATTAGAGCCAAACGACTAACCTTGCGAAAATGTGCAAAAGCGTATTCTAAGGGCAAAGCTATTCCTGTCCTTAGATGTCAAGGATTTCTTTTTATAATGAACCTGTAGCGTGCAGTCTTTTTTTAAGTTACAGAAGTAGTACATGAATCCATTCTCATTGTAAGACAATGTAGCAATACATAAGTATACAGAGTATGTGATGGTCCTCTCATTTCCCTCCCCAAAGCCATTATTACCAGCAGTTTGCAATCCTCCAGCCCCTTCTCTACATAAATAAATACATTTAAGCAAAATAGTATGTTTCTTTTTTCTTCAATTCCCTTCCCCTTCCTCCCTCCGTCCCTTTCTTCCATCCTTCCGTCCTCCCTCCAGCCCTTCCTTTCTTTTCTTAACACATGCAGCATACTGTCTGTGTTCCACCCATACAAATGCCTCGAATCTTACGCTTCACCACTAAACCTCCAGTTGCCAGTACCTGTCACTCTTCCCTGAGTGCTTTCTCTGGTCATTAAAAGATGCTTTGCCAATATGTATGGCTGGCCATAAGTGCTAAGAATTTAACCTTCCCCGGAGCAGCCCTCAACTCGTCCCTTGAACGGGATAATTTGGAGATGTATGCTGCAGTGTCGCCCAGAGTAAACAACTACAGTCAGCCCTTGAACAACACCGGTTTGAACCGGGTGGGTCCACTTATACACAGATTTGGGCCCTTCATACCCGCTGGTTTCACATCCGCAGGTTTAACCAACCTCAGGTGGAAAACTATTTTCACATTCCCAGCAGCAGTTTCCCATCCATGGATAGAAAATACTGTTTGCCTTCTGTGGTTGGGTGACTCGATCTGACGATGCAAAACC